AATCTCATTTATTTTAATTATTATTAATAGATTATTATATACTAATAATAACTAATAAAATAACTCATATGATATAGGTTTTATGTGATGAGTTTGAGGGCATTGATGAGCATTTGATTGGCTTGGCTCGTGGCCCTTCTTGGATAGTTCAATGCTATAAAGGTTTTGGGTAAACGGTTTTCGATTTCACATTGCCTCATATGGAAAAAAATAAGAAAACAATGAATAGCGGTGTATGTGTCATGAGAACCACAGGAACAGAGTCAGATTTGGATTTGTATGGGTTGTTGCAGGAAGTGATTGAGCTTCAATATGTTAGCTTCAGACATTGGCAGACGGTTGTTCTATTTAAATGTGATTGGTATGAAATTCCCCCTACATGAGGAATTGTGGTTGACCGAAAACACCGTCTTGTTGATATTAATCCAAATAAAAAATTGAGAACTTATGAGCCTTTCATCTTAGTAAGTCAAGCTAAACAAGTGTATTACACTCCATATCCATCACAAAATTTTGTTAGAAAGGAATGGGTTGCTACATTGAAATGTAGGGCAGGAAGTGTTATTGAGATGTCAGATCAACAAGAGGAACAACATGATGATCCAGAACCTATTTTTCAAGATGATGACCCTCTAGCTACCCAACCAACCCTGTCAAATCCTATATTATATGAACTTATTTAGCATACTGATGGGACTGTATCTGCCATTAATGTCGAAATTGAGGGTGTGGATTATGACAGAAAAATTGAGGAAGATGATAGGGAGGAAGAAGAATTTGAAGATTATTATACATCTGAGGAAGAAAATATTGAATATATTTCTGAGAGTGATAGTAGTGATGAATTAATTAGTGACCCAATAGATTTTGTTATTATTTATTAGTATATGTATGTAGTCTTTTATAACATATTAGGTGATATATAAGTAGCTTGACTTAAAAAGAAAATTTAATGTGATGTTAAATTATTAATATATATTTTGTCTTTAAATTTCATCCTTCATTTAATTTTTTTAAAGTTTAAATATAATGTATTTTTTTCCAATCATATAATAATGTATTATATCTTTGTAGTGAATTGCATACCTGGAGCTTGTAGGGGTGACAAGTTCGTTGACGTTGCTTCCCAAAGGCCGATAAGAAAAAATCAATCACAGGGAATTGGGTCTTCGAGTACCATTGTCCGGGAGAGCCAGTGGGAGACCCAAGGGGAAACATGTTGTAATGGCAGTGACACCGACTCTAGTGTACCCTCACCTCCTCAACCCAAACAAAGGCAAGGTATTGCCAAAGTCCAAAAAATGCAAGAGGATCATTCCCATAAGCTAAGCATTGGGATCTGGGATGGGAAGATATTACCCAAAAATGTTCGAAAGGATATTTCAATATCCTTAAGTCTAATATGCATGATGCATATACAGGGTGAGGTTCAATTTCTCATGAGCACAAGGAAGTGTACTGGCAAGCTTTTCGAGTTGGTAATTTATAATGACATTGTTTTTATTTATATATGTGCATTTTCTTTATGAATCAATTAATATATGAATATATTAAACTTATATATATATATTTTTTTCAGAATATGTACGAATGGGACCCAGTTGAGCAGGGTGCTGTACATACAACATTTTTACATGTTTGTGAAAAGCGATATAACCGAATGATGACTAATATTTAGGTTTCACATAAAAAGAAAAATTTTACAGAAAAAAAAAAACCATACATGTCTGATGAGATTTGGGAGAAGTTTAAGTATATATGGACTAAGGACTCGCAGTTCAATGCTCGCAGAGAGCAAGCAAATTTAAATAGAGCAAGCAAAGTTAAATAGAGCAAAAGGCCTCACGGTAACCCACATAGGTGAATCTATGGACTACAATAACTTCGTGCAAAAATTGGTAAAAATGTTACCTTTATCATTTAGGTTTCATATCATAATTTATATAATAATTAATCTTAATGTTAATTGTAATGTTTGTGTCAATTAAAACAGTAATTGAATATGTAATATTGTAGAAAGAAAAAGATTATGAGCATAGGGATCCATCATTCGTTGATGTGATTCGTGCAAAAAAAAAAAAATGCATCCTCCGAAAGAAAAAGATAAAATGCCAATATATATTGATGAGCAGGCTTGACAGTACATTGTGAGTTTTATTTCTTTGTCTTTATTATTTCTTGAGGGGTTAATTTAATTGATATATTCTTTCATTCTCACTCATATTAAAGAATTATTTAAATTAAATGAAATCAAATTGCATTTTAATTTTATTGAATATTATTGTTGGAAATATATATATATATATGATTGAACGTATTTCCATACTTTGTTTACAGGGTGAAACTGTAGTTTATAGGGGAAACTCTACCAGATTTTTTATCAATTTATAATGAATTGTGAAAATTTACATGGACTTTTATTATGATATTTATAATTATATTGAGTCTTTAATCAATATTAAATAGGAGAATTAATAAAAATTGTATAGATATATTAAATAAAAAAGAAAAATTAAAAGTGTCGAGCTAGTGAGTACTTCATGTTCAAAAAGTGGTTCAAATTGTTTGTATTGGTGGGGCTAATCTTGAATTATATTTGAACACACATGTAATTGAAAAAAAAAAAAAAAAAAAAAG